AGCCAAAGAGCTGCATGTGGCTCGCGAGCCGCAGTTTGCCAACCACTGCACTGGGGTATCATGAATTAGATAGAGAGCAGGCAACTTGCTTCTCTGTTGCAGACTAGGATCGGGACAGTTTTTCTCTTACAGGTTCAAGGTCACTCTAGAGTGCAGTAAAGTTTTCAGGGTTCAGCTGAGAGAGTTTGGAGTTTTTATCCCGAGGGCACAGGGAGCCAGCGGGAGGGAGTTTGAAAGCCCAGCCCTCAGCGTGAGGCTGGAGCAGCAGGGAAGGCGGGGAGCAGAATATTGTAGCTGCCTAGGGAAAAAGGATGCGGGCTCTGAGCGCAGCCTGTGGCTTTCTCTGCCTCTAGTCTTCCCTACCCCTCCCTCGCCGGAGCTGGAGTGGAGTGTTATAATTTAGATGGTGTTTGTTCTTACCACAGTAAAAGAGAGATAAAGTTCTTAAGAGGATGATGAAAAGAAGGTAGAGGAAGCAGCCAGGTGGTGAGAACTCGGAAAAAGGAGTCGGGGCCCTTGGTCGGGAGAGGGAGGCGGGCTTTTTCTCTAAACTCCTCTGTATTTCTCCTCTGGTGGTAAAATTTCCAGAATTTCTGCCCCCTCCGTCTCCCGCTGGTTCCATCTGTGTCCTGAGGTCCCAGAAGCAGTTTCAGAAAGAAGATGCTGCTAAGAACTTGCCTGCTGGCTCAGAACCTGCTCCAAGCCACCTCCCCATTGTATTCATCTAAGCAGGCCCAGCACCAGACCAGATTCAAAGGAGTGGAGAAATAGACTTCACTTTTTGATGGGAGGACAGTTCCTGTCTCATTGCAGAGGAGTGTGGACAAAGGGAGGCATTAAAAAAAGAAAAAAAAAACAAACAACCCCAAGCAGTTTCAGAACCACGGTATCACCTGACCTCAGCCTCAGCCTTGAGGCTGTTGTCCGTTATTTCTGCTCTAATTTACTGCTAATTACAAACAGTTCTGCCTTCCTCAGAAGTCCACTTGGCTGGATCTACTGCAGCCTCCATCAGTGCATCTGTGGTGGTTAGAACAACCTTCAGAGGTGCCCTTGCCCAGGCTGCACATCTGTTGGCATGTGGTGACCTAAGCTGCCTTTCCTGTCCTGTTTACGGGTCCGGGGGCAGAGTGCAACCAGGTTGCAAGAAAAGCGAGGAAGCCTGACCTCAGGGTGGTCAGCAGGGATTTGGGAGGCCACATCCCTCAGTTCGCCTTTGGTGTTACTATGGCCTTAGTATTTCAATGTCTTCTCTGTTCTCTTTTATTGTAACGTTTAATCACCATCACGTCAACATAGTGCCCTAAAAATAACACTTCGCAATTATCTGATACAGATTATACGAGCATATTTGAGAATATGCATTTTCTTCTGCGCTCGATGTGAATAGATCATTGTCTTCAACTTTTAATCCTGTTAGAAACCTGCATTCAAAATGAATAATTATTCTCCTTTTGCTTTTCTAATATCATGTAGGTTGCAAAAAATATCTGGCTCTAAGAACGCAGAATACTTGTGGGAGCAAAGGTAGTGAGTCATACCTGCAGGCGTGGAAATGAGAGCTCATTTGAGCCTCTTCACCCAGTCAGGAGGTCTCCTAGGCAACCATTTATGCAGTACTAAAAGAGGAGGATATTTTAATCCTCAGATGCAATCCCTATCGTCAGACTGAGATCTCAGTTTTCCTTTTCTCATTTAAAATAAGTAAATGAAAAGCTTAACAATTAATTATAAAAAAACACCATTAAGACGTGCTGTGCTTTATCCTTACCTTTTGAATGCTCTTTCTCTGATGGGAACGTTCATGTACATATATAATGCTGGCTCATTTGGGAAAGCAGGAAAAAGTTACCGCTTCAAGTGATTTCGTTTGGCTGTGAAGTTATTTGGAAAAGCGGATCATCTTTTCAGGAGCTTGCATGAGTGTGTCCTCATCAGTAGACATTCCAGGATGTGGAGAAATTTTTTAACCATTTGTTTCTTCTCTCAGTGCTCAAATTTATATTTATCTGCCCCAGTGCCTTAGGCATTCTATTCTGTCTTAGAGGACTGCCACATCCTGCTCTGTAGGCCGGCTGGCCGTAAGGAGGAACCAGGAGCTCTTTCTGCCAAGCAGACACAGCCGGGATTTATTTGCTGAAGATTTTCCTCCAACTCTTCCCTCATCCTTTTCATAGAGGCTTCTGCTCGGATGTCGGCAAGGACATCACATACATTTCTACCCTGTGAAACACTAACACTCCTAGTCTTTATTTAACACGGGCTTGCCTGAAATTCTATTTTAAAGAGTAAGGTGGCTTATTTCTCTGCACCAGGGAAAGAGGAAAGTCCTACTAGTTACCTGACAGACTCGTTGTCAGTGGTGCTAGAAATAATCTGACAAGAACCAAAATATTGAACGAGTAGCAGTGCTACTTTTAAAGAGGGTTACGTAATGGCCCTGGGTCAGGCGATGGGAAGAAATGTGAAACCCAGAATGAAATCTGGAAAGGGGCCAGCTCCCTGCTCTGAGCCCCTGGGGGCTTTAGGAGAATTTGGGGCTTGTAGCCCCCAAAATTTGAATTTTCTTTTGAACGCCCCCGTTGATCCTCCTACCACCACCAACTTTGAGACTCTCCTGCAGACGTGTGGCAGATTAAGTGGGCGACTTTGCCGTTTTTTCCTCCCCCCTCGAGCTGAGGAAGAAATGATGGGAGCAAGTCGTGTTCTGGAGCCAAGGTTCTGGATGCTGTTTTCTGCAGCAAAAATGAAAAGTGAACAAGTGCACTTCATTCTGAAGAAGGCCATTTTGACACCGACAGTTTAGTGATATTGATGGTGCAGTTCTACCCTTAATTCTAACTTGTTTCATTTAATTACATATCTGAAATGCCAGTCTATAATTTATGAATGGTCTTTAGTTATTCTTAAACATGGTGGGTTATAAACAGGGCAATACTTTGGTTTATCATTTTATTTTTAATTTTGGTAATCATTAACCCAGGATATTCTCTCTCCCACCCACCCATTGATATTTAGAGTGAGTGGAAGGGAGGGCAAAGAGGAGAGAGAGAGAGAAAAAGAGAGAGAGAGAGAACATCAATGTGAGAGAGAAACATTGATTGGTTGCCTCCTGCACATGCCCCAATCAGGGCAGTGATCCATCCTGCAACCCAGGTGCATTACCTTGACCCAGGAACTGAATTTGAGATTGTGAGGGCCAATGCTCTAATCACTAAGATCAGTGGCCAGGGTGACTTATCACTTTTAATACCTACACTTTTGTGAGAGAGAAAAAATGATTTGTTAATGGACTTATGTGATGCATTCATTCACTGAGTTTCTCCCATTTACCAGTCACCACTACAAGGCATTGGGGATACGGAGATTAAGGTTTTGTCTCCATTTTAAAGATGCTGACAAGTCCAAAAGGAGAGACAGTCAAATAAATATTATCATAAGAATAGAAAAAACTTGTGTAATACTTACTATTCATGCCAGGAACTGTTCTAAGTACCTTCTAGACATTAATTTTAACTTGTGAATTGATACAAAAGTCCTATAGGTTGCTGCTATTATTTTTTCTATTTTCCATATGAGTAATTTAAGGCCCAGGGAAGCTAACTGCGTGTCTAAGGTCATAAAGCTTCTTTTTATGGACAAGCACAAATGCATTAAGTGCATTAACAGCTGTTCAGGGAGTATTCTGGCAGAACTGGGAACATCCATCTGGGAAAATGGGGACTAGAAGAGTGGCTATCAATGGCATTTTCCCAAAGGAGTCAATACCTGAGCGAGTCTATTCAGAAGAGTAGAGGAGCCATAAAGTGCTTACTTAGTAACACAAAATGCTGCATCATAAGGGGATTCATCAGTTGAATTGGTGACAAAATTTTGGGAGATGGGGAGTGTAAAAAATATACCATCCGTGAGTCTTTAATATAAAAGACAAGGAAAATAGATTCCCATTTAAAGCTAAACCTTTGGTTCCAGTTGGTGTAAAGTATGATAGAAACTTGGCACTTAAAAATTCTAACAGAAATGATTAATTTACGTACACTCTGGAAGCATGTGGGTAAATGCATGACTCCTTTTAAGGTGAGTTCCCCAATCACCTTATCATTTTATTTTTGGAAATCTGTAGCAATCTATAGAAATAGACTAGTAGTATTTATTTTGTTTAAATGGAGGGGAAATATTTATTTACATCTTTCAGATTAAAGATTACCTGTTAGTTAGGTAGTTAGCTTTATCACTATAGAGATACAAAATCACTCAAGTTAGAATTGGTGGTGCCCAACTTCCACCATCCTGTAACAAGGAAGGTGCTCTTTCCAGCACCAGCCATGTGTATAACCATCCTTTGCTCCTGTGCGACCATTGCCTGCCGGCTTTCTCTTCACTCCCACTGCCTACTGACACCTGTTCTCCACCTGACCCACTTCATTGGATAAGCCACTCACTTCCCTGACTGCATGAGTTTTGGGCTTCTCATCACCTATGACCTTCTCCTCAGCTTTCCCCAGCTCCCCACTCCCTAGACCTTGTCTACTCGTGGCTCAGATAAGTCAGGCAGAAATTGCCTGTTTGATCTCACCCACCTGTCCGTCCACCTCATCCCTCACAGTTACACCCCGCCTCTCCTTTGATTTCACCGAGGCTGCTAGTGCATTTTGCTTCTTCTGGTGAGAGCATTGCTGTAGCTACCCATCAGTTCTTTCCGATCTTCACATCCCTCCAACGTAGACTCCATGGGTCAGATTTTAAATCACTGTTTGGCCAAAGTCGTACACATCCTGACCATGTTGTCCTTTTGCTTGCACCTGGGCTGCTGAGCAGGGTGGGAGAAAATCATACAACTGAGCAATTGGTATCTGCTTGCATAAGTACGGGGATTGCAAGCACTGGGCAGTAGTTGCATCATGTTACTTGGATTGCTGTCATTCTGATTGTGCATAGTGACCGTTGCTAAGCGAATTCACTCTCCAGATGTATGATGCTCTCCTCCCCCCTTACTCTAGTCAGGTGGATTCCTGCAGCAGGGCTCCCTCCCACCTGCCACTGAGCCTTCTCTGTCCCCTGGCAACCGCCTGACGACCTCCTAGTTTTTCTCCTTTCGCACTGCCTGAGTCATCTTTCCTGGTTTCACCTCTGTCAAACCGTCTTCCGTCAAAAGGCAAGTACTATCTGTTTTCTCTTTAAATGCAGTAAAACATTTTTTGTGCTTCTGTCGTTTGCCTTCTGCTGGAGGGAAGCTGGGATTTACTGCAGCGTGGCAGGGCCCCCTGCTCTCGTGTGCTGTGTGTGAATGTGCATGGGCCTCACTCTGCATCTTAGCTAGATGCTGTGCCAGCCCGTGCACAGCCGCCATCTTCCTTGCTGCTGAGTCATTTTGCACTCTGCAGAAATAGTCCATAGAGGGAAAGGTTTTATGGGCATCTTTCAGATTAGAAGTGGGCGGGAATTTTCCAGATAGATCAGTTTTATTATTACTGTGTTCTAAAGAGCTGTCTTAGGTGTAGCTCACCGGTGCCTTTGTGAATTCTGGGCCCCTTCCTGCTGAGGAAGCCTCAGGTGTGCTCTGTTCTGTGCCTCTGTGTGCTGACGCTGCGATGCTGGTGGCGGCTTGCAGCTTGCTGCCCACGTTCCTATTGTCCTTATAAATGCCGCCACCCCCACCTGCTGCCGTGGGAGGCTCTATATTCCTTTCAGGTTTTTTCCCCCTCTTCCCTCCTGCCACCTCCCTTTGGTTGGCTTTCACATAAAAACATGGATATTTAGTAGACATTATTCACTGATTTATTAACTCTTCTGATCCAGAGCTAGACACTTGGGGATACAGACTATGAGAATAACACTCTTGTGATCATAAGAAACATCAAATGGTTATAGTAATTCCAACACATTATCATAAGTACTATTCAAGTCCTTAAAGAGCATTTCATATACGTAATCCTATATAATAAAGGCCAATATGCAAATAGACCGAATGGTGGAACAACAATAGGTCACTATGATGTGCACTGACCACCAGGGGGTATGTGCAGAACATGGTGGGCTTTGGCCATAGCAGGATGGTGGAGCAAGTGAGTGGGGACACCAAACCAAAGCAGGGCACTGGTTACTGTCATCGGTGTGAGCCTCTGGTGGTTACTGAAAGCTCTTTGCTCCCGGATGCCACAGTCCTGCCCGGCGCTTGCACCTGCTGCCTGTGCTGACCCACTCACACCAGCTGCTGGTGCCCAGCACCAGTCCCCATCATTTGGCACCATCAGCGGGTGTGAGCGGTGGCTGCTGGCCCTAATCACCCCTGAGGGCTTCTCCACCACCTCCTGCTCCTAAAGGGCAATCAGGGCAGCACCCACAACCCACACTCACTGATGGCACCGGCCCCAATCTCACTGTGCCGTCGGCAGGTGTGAGTGGGGCCTATGCCGTCAGGTCAGCGTGTGGAAGCAGCAGGAGTGGGGCTTTAGGAGCAGGGCTGTGGCAGACGGGGGACCGGGCCCATGGTGGGAGGGGTGCAGGGGATGGCCGAGACCCACCCCTAAGGCTACCACAGCCTCATAGACCAAGGTTCCTTTCAAGGTGCATGAATTAATTCACTGGGCCCCCAGTTTTATATAATTTTTTAAAAAAATCCTGAAGATTGTTGGTTATATCCAATACAACAGGGGAGGAAACTGAGGCTCTGGGAAGGGAAAGCATTTGCTCAATCTCTTAAACAGGAGGCTCATAGGAGGACTGTAGTCTCAGTGTGGGCTGCAGAGCTCATGCTCTTCACTGCTGTGAACAGTTTTTCTACTCCCCACATCTTTCAGAGGGCGGGCCGCAAATAACAGAATTCAAGACACATAAGGGACTGTACCACTGACTATTAGCCTCAGCGAGGAGTTGGAGAATTAACTGGCTAAAATTTATGTGATGTGGTGTTTTAATTCCTCCATTGGGTTCAGTATGATTGCTGGAAGGCAGTGTCTTTCTTCTGCCTGAATATTATGCTGCCTTCATTCAGTTTATAGTGCATTTGTTAGCACTGCGTGTCTCCTGTGTGACATATTCTCACCAAATGATTGTATTTGCCCCTCTGTTACCTTCTTAAGAGCCAACTTCAAATTCACACCTTAAAATACTTCACCTTGGGTTTGACATTTTAAGTGCCTTGCATCTGAAAGGGGATAATAGGAACTGCTTTCTAGATCGCTGGAAATAGTAGTTTAATTTTAATAGCCCGGCTACACCTGTCGCAGTTAGCTGGGACCGCACCTCCGCTTCTCCCTGGGGACAGGAGCTGCTCAGGCCCGCTGGCCTGGCCCTGCGTTGTGGCCCGGCTTCTGTGCTTTTCAGAGAGCTGTTCCCTCTGCTCTGATAGTAATGGTTCCTGCCCTTTCCCACTTTGGCTCCTTAGTTTTTATTGTTGTTTTTTTTTTTCTAGACAGACAGACAAACAAACAAACAAAAACACCACAGATTATTTTGAGAGACTATTTTGAGAACTAGTTATTTATTCAGTAAATATTTATTAAGCTTTCCTCCCAGCCAGGCACCATTCTGCCTACTGAGGATAGGGCAGGACACAACACGGCCTCTCGGCCCATTTCGAGCGTTTGTTTGGAGTGGGAAGCACCCAGCAAACGTGACCTGATGCCAGATGATAGGAAACGCAGTGAAGAAAAGTGCAGCCGAGGAAAGGGAGAGGGGGAAATGGGAAGGAAAGGGCTTGTGGCTATTTTGGCTAAGTCATCAGGTCTTTCAGAGCAGGTGACATTTAACAAAGACCCGAGTGTCTTAGTCAGCTTGTGCTGCCAGGACAGAAATACCATAGGCTGGGAGGCTTAACAGCAACAGACATTTGTTTCTCACAGTCCTGGAGGCTGGAGGTTGAGATGGGGGTGCCAGCACGGGCGGGTCCTTGGTGAGCGCCTCTTCCAGGCTTCAGATGGCCGCCCTCTTCTGTCCTCACACGGAGGAGAGAGACCACCTGTCTCATGTCTCTTCATAAGGGCACTAATCCCAATAACGGGGTCTCCATGCTCATGACCTAACCGCCCTCAGAGGCTTTACCTCCAAATTCATCACTTTGGGTATTAGGACTTTCATATCTAAACCTGGGAGAACACAAACATTCATTCATTCACCGAGTGCAGTGAAGAGTTTCCAGGCACGGGGAATTGCAATTCAGAGGCCCTGAGATGAGCCTGTGCTTGGCATGTCCGAGGAACAGCTCTGTGGCCCCCGCGTTGTTGCTGGAGCAGATGGGCAATGGAGGAGAGAGCATTTGGAAGTGAAGATGGAGGAGAAGCATGGGGTCCCTGTAAGGCCCTAAACTGGTGGCCAGTTTAGATGTGATTCTCAGGGCATAGGGATCCTTTCTGAGAAGGGGAAGGTTGTGTCAGGAGTTTTAATTGTAGATAGACACTTGGGATGCTGGGGGAAGTGGGACAAGGGGGAAGCGTGGTGTGGTCTAGGTGAGAGGAGAGGGGTTCATGGCTGACACCTGGTTGGTTGGTAGCAGTAGGGTTGGAAGAGGTGGTTAGATTGGGGACTTTGACAGTAGAGATGGTACAGTTTGCCACTAAATCATTTGTGGAGTATGAAAGAAGGAAGAGCCAAGGATAATTCTGTGATTTTTAGACTGAGCAGCTAGGTGAAAGAAGGTACCATTTCTTGAGATGGGGAAAGAGCAGGATGAGTGGTGTCAGTAGAGGAAAATGTTGGTAGGTGTTCCATGAAATTGATTTTATAATCAAACTAGTGATCCAGTGCACTGATTCATGTACCAGTACATTGAAAGGAAATTAATCAGAAGGTGGCTGGTGGGGCAGGACTGGGCAAGATGGGCCAGACACCCCTTGGAGCCAACATCCCTTGGTCCTTCCCTAGCATCTCCGGAATGAGCGGGGGTCCCTTCAGCAGGTGGGGCCCTTTGGCCTGGCTTGCAGGGATGGGGCTGAAACCAGCTCTCTTGACACCCCACCAGGGGTCCCGGAGTGCAAGAGGGCACTCTGCAAAGTTGCTGTTGTACAAGGTGTGGAATGCAAACGCAAGTGTGCAGTGAACCAGATTCTGGGCTGACAGTGCCCCAGCAACAACATAACCCACGGCCAAAGGTGGAATCACGAGGGCTCCCTCCTCTCTGGTTTCAGGGTGTGTCACCCAAGATCCACCGCTGCAAAGTCACTGCAGCTAGGCAGCTCCTGCATTGAGCGTCTGTCCCCTAGTGGTCAGTGCATGTCATAGCTTTTCAAGGATAGAGTGTTACTGGACATGATGATTGGTGATGCGCACGTACTGTCAAACAGTACTTGTCTGTAACAGCAGATGCTACTGTTCAGTGTGGAATAGGAAGTGCTCAGTAACGGAAGTTACAATGAGTGCTGACCAAAAATTAAAATGACAAGATAAAAGAATATTGGAAATGCATCTTTCTGTGCAAAACAGCCTGTATTTATGTTAGTACATAATCTGCATGAATTTACAAGAAACCGTAGGAGTCATTCTGTGTTGAGGGGAATAGTGTGAGAGGGAGATATGGATAGAGCAGAGAACGAACAGCCTTTTCTTTATGTACCTTGTAACTATGTGCTTGTATTACTTAGTAAAAAAAAAAATCAATCAATAAAATAATGAAGGGAAAAATAAAAACATCCTTAAAATGTGTGCAGGATGCAGAATAGCTTGTTTAGAAGGTAAAGGTCGTTTGGGACAGAAATAATTAATTATCCAGTTGAATAAGAGCCCAGGGCTGGCAGAGGTTTCATGTGACCATCAGATGCATCCTCAGCAGGCCTCTGGTACGCCAGGACTGAGGTGGGCACGATAATTTCTTACGGGCTTGATATTTTGCAGCCATTAAAGCTACTTAAAACAGTTTTATACATATAATTTAATACATTTAGAAGGAAAATATTCCTAGTATTGATTTATTTTTTTTTCCCCATGCAAATTTAACACCGCTCAGGAAATGCCAATTAAAACTCTAGGACAGGGATGGGGAACGCCTGGCCCACAGGCCATATAAGGCCCACGGAATCATGTGGTCTGGCCCCACCAAGGCATGAGGGTTGAGTTAATTATGTTTGAGCAAATATAGCAGGTTAATTTTTAAGGTGATATTTTTGTATGGCTTGCAAATGATGTTATAAATAGTCCCTGGTAGATAAAATGTTCCCCACCC